AATTTTTGTGGAGGGAAAATTGTGACATATGCTTTATTTTAATATTATATTAATATTACTGTGCAAGAAAACTTTGTAACGAAGTTTTTCTCATGCACAGTAAAATTTTTCTTATATATGCATACTGAAGCCGGGGGAGGAGGCAGAATCAAAATTTTCCTCTCATCCTTCTTCTTCTTTTGTCTAAATTTTAAGCAACGATACTCTACTCCTGTAGGATCTGGTGTGAAACAGGAGAGATTTTGAATTCAGTGGGAAAGCTTCGGTAGAAATACCACACCAGGTAAGGGGAAGTTTAATTCATTCAATATATGAAATTGAATTGTTGGGTACTATATGAATAAGGAATAGAAATAGAGATATGAATTATTTGAATGTCTAATTTTGAAGAATTTTTTATTCTGATGAACTGTTCATCGTTTGAAAGTTTTTGAAATTCTTAAAATTAAGGATGAATTATATGGTAAAATTGTTGTTTTCAACTTAAATTAGATATAATTCATGTTTAATTTGAATTTGGGACTAGTTTGGTTGTCTAAAACTGAGTAATTTGAAATCTGCAAAAATCTGATACTGTAACTGGGTGAAGGAAGAAGAAAGGGATATGGTGGAGATTTTTTAAAAAGATCAAGGGTAAAATAGTCATTTTACATCCTAGGGACATAAATGGAATTTTTGAAAATGTTCAAGGGTAAAATAGTCATTTTTGGGACATGGAAGGAATTTTTGAAAATGTTCAAGGGTAAAATAGTCATTTAGGGACATACATGGAATTTTTAGAAAAGATTAAGGGCAAAATAGTAATTTAATGATTTCGAAAAAGATTTTGGAAATGATTTCAAAAGATTTTGGAAATTATTTCGAAATGATTTCGAAGTGATTTCTGAAGTGATTTCGAAATGATTTCGAAAAAGAAGAAGAAGAAGAATATATATATATATATATATATATATATATATATTTAAAATATAGAATGAATGTAGCAGTTTTAAAGATTCCAGTAGTGTGTTGTAACGTGTGTAAGTCGACCGAGTCTAAGGGTTGATGCCCATAATCAATCATGAGATGTTATGTATTGACTAAACTGAGCCGGAGGGTTGGTGTCCAGAATCAGTCAAGTCCTATTATTTATTGACTTGAATTAGCAGTGAGGACAAGTGGTCTAGAATCCGGCAAATGTGAATGATTTTTATTGTGTTTGAATGGTACCCGGGGTGGTACATAGTACTTTAGTGTAATAACTATGTCGGAGGATTTTGAATGAGGTCCCAGACTTCACTGATTGGTTGGGTCAGGTAGACTATGAGATCAGGTGGTAAGAAGTCGATGGGGGGATGACTGGTGGCGCGCTTGGAAGGGTACTCCAGTATGAGTGATGAAGGGCGCCAGTAATCCTACTTTGTGTGGAGGGTGGTCAAAATGGTACTGCGAGTGCAGATCATAATGTGCCCACAGATGATAATCTCTGAGTTCGGGCATAGTTAGGGTATACTTCCGGAAGGTGTCTTAGTGTGTTGATAATTTTGTAATTGATCATAATATATAATTATTACTTCTATATCTATTTTATTATATCGAATTATTTAATACTTACCCCTATTTTTCCATGTAGATGGGACTGCGATGATCACTTTTATGTGGGAGCAGATCAGGAGTTGAGAGATGGAGATGTGACTACTGGACAACATGGATAATTCAGTGGGATAGCTTCGATGACGTTACTTTTACATGTATAATATATAAATAAATTATGTTACTATATTTTGAGGTTCCGTTAGCGAATCGGAATTTCAATCTATGTTACAATTACAGTAATATAATGTAAGATAAATGTCGTTATTTACTTGTTTACTATTTTGCGAATGCATCATTATAATAGCGATTTCTAGGGTCGTTACATAAATAGCCTAAATATGTTCTAAGTTCATATTCAAAAAATCATTTTATTAATTTTTCAGTTCAAAAAATATCTTTACATCTTCTCTTGTCTATTTTCTTTCATTTTCCTTTTTACTCTTCCCATTCTTCTATTTGTTTTTGGCCTAAAAATTGCTCTTGAGCTCTTCATCCATAGAAAACTAAATCTTAAGAACTAATTCACATCGTCAATATGAAACAAGCCTAATTGGGTTTTGTACTTATCGTTTCTCATTCTCAATTTGTTATTCTTTTATCTAATTTTGATTTTACACTTTATGATATCAATTTATGATTTTTTATTTTAGAAATCAAATTAAGAATCAATTGAATATTGGTTTGGTAATTAAATTGAATGATAACGAGATTTAATTTATATAATTGATTTAGTTAGTTAATTGAATTAGTTATTTATTTAAACTTGGATTAAAATATTTAAAAAATTATAATAAAAAATAAAATTGTTTGTTGATATAAATTATGGATTGATTCATTTCTTTATTTTTTATTTTTGTTTTGCTTTTCAATTCTTATTTTAAATTTTTAATCCCAAATTTAAGTTGTACAAAAAGAAAACTAAAATTGGATATATCTTAATATATATCCTTAAGAAGCATAATCTATTTTTGTGTTCTAAATTATAAATTTTTTTACGTAAATTTAGAATATTTGATTTCATATAAACAGTATTAAAATCATAGTGATAATAATCCATTTAACTCAATTTATCTGGACATGATTATTAAGAAAAAAAAACCTTATGATGACATATTAACCAGTGATGATAATGTTTAGAATAATTAAAAAGATATTAAACAATAATCTTAATATAAATAAAAGCAAAGTACGGAAAATAACACATCTAGACATGAATATTTAAAATTTAAAATTTAAAATGATTTTATAAGAGTCTAACTTTATTTTTTATATCATTCTTATTCATATATATCATTATTTTTCTCTTTTTATACGAAAACGTTATCCTTCTTCTAGTGCCGTGATAACCGTTAAGACCAATGTCTCCGTACTCTCATCTATTGTTATCCTTTCCTGAAAGAAAAAAAAAACTCAAGATTTTATTTTACTACACTTAGAGTAACAACATGTAATTTTCACGTACAGGAACTCGAGGCTCAACTCTAACTTCAAACTTAATTTTGCCTCATAATACCAAACACAATGTGTCCTTCAAGGCAATTTTCGTCTTCAAAACATGAATTTAGATTGACTAATGTAAGACCATATATAGCGTATGTAGAATTAATTGTGTATAACTAAGCATGTTAGACATACTAAATGGAGAATGAAATCACAATTTTTTTTCTTTATAACAAAAGTTACAATAAAAAAATGCCAAAAAGTGTATAATTGTCGTATGCAAAACAAAGACTATTAGAATCGAAGATGAATCATCAATCAATATAGAAAGATAATGATAAGGTGGTGTTAAAAATTAAGAACCAAGGAATAATTTTTTTTTTTAATGTAAAATAAAAAATAAAAAGCCTTCCGATTATTGTCCCCAGATTCCCCCACCCACAAAAATCACGTTGGCCCATAAAAGGGAAAGTCAGAAAAGAAAACACAAAATAATCCTTTGAGAGAATGCCACGTGTCACATGAGCCTTCAGCAATGATAATTATGATTCGGAATCTACCCTCAAGCTCGTTCCCACACTGTCCCATATATACCGCACTCGCATTCCTCACACACCAAACGCAAACCAAACAAACACGAGGGGCATTTCCTATAATTCACACACAACCATACGGTGTCGTTTCTTCCTTTTAATCCTTTCCCGCACCAAAAAAAAAAAGAAAAAAGCTAACCCTAGCTCTTTTTCCCTTTCGTCTTTAGCCGCGTTTTCCGATCTCCATTTCTTTTCCTTCCTCCCTCGATTTCACCCCCAATTTTGCCGCCACCTCTCCAATCGACTCAGCCTTCGCCTAGGTCTTCATTTTCTGCACCGAACGATTCCAAATTTTGCCCTATCCGTTCACAGGATCCGCTTTTAGGGTTTCCCTCGCGGAATATTCCCGATCTATTTTTCCCAAAACGGGATCTGAAAGAGGAAATTTTCTATTCGATTTGGGTTCTGGGTCTTTGTCGCCTCGTTTCGTTTTCTGTGATTTTTGTAAATTATTTTCGACGCGTATTTGATTTGGGTCCGATCCTTCTGAAACTTGGTTTGGGTTGTTAGATCTCGCATCGTCTAATTCGATTCGGTTCGAATCGAAATACTTGTCCATCGTTCTCGTTGTATTCGTTAAGATCTAGGGTTAGGGTTTTCTCAAATTGGGGCTTTTGATGTTTTGTTGAATTTCTTTGGGGAAGTTTCAATTCGTTGAGCGATTAGGATTATCCCGTTTGATTTCTTCCAATTTTAGCTCTTAATTGTCTGATTCAGCCGGGTGCATTTAATTTGAAGGAGACTGTTTTAAGGTACAATAAATAAATTATTATTGCTATTATTTTATCATTGATGACAATTATTGTTTTTGTTTGCGTTATTATAGAAATTTCATGCAATTTATATTATGATAATTTATTTTTTTTAATTTTCGGGTCAAAGTTTTGTCAGTGGTCTGGGTGTCTGCGTTTTTAGTAAATAGTGTTACTTTACCAATTTGTCCCTAAATGTTGCACTTGGTAATGGTGTTCACTGGGCTCTGGTTGAACAAGGAACATTGGTGATTGGCCCCACTAGCCTTTACTGAATCTGTGATATAAATTGTTGTAAAATGTTTGAGTTACAGTGATTTAAATAGAAGACGTTCTTTTTCAGGACTGGGGTTCAACATCTAGTCTTCTATTTATAGGCCTTACAATGTTGCTGTTGTATAATATCCCATTTTGCTCTTAAGTATTTGTAAACTAGACCTGTATGTTTTTATAGAGAAGTTGTTCTGTAATATGCTCAAGTGATTTACTTTTGTAGCAGTCAAATGTTGTATTGCATGCATCATCTTCTCGTTCTAAAATGTTACCTCTTCAATTTTTTAACCTATCATTATGTATGTGCATTAATTCCGAATGTTGTCTGTTCTCTTATTCTTCGTTGAATCCTGTCCTCCAGGTAATCATGGTGCAGAAACGTTCTTTTGATGCTGAGGAAATACTTGAGGGGTCTTTCAAACACCCAAAACATGCAGAACCTAGCCATGAGCTCTTTTCATTATCAGAATCTGTCTTTCCTGGTGATGATTACCATATCCACATGCCAAAAACTTCGGGTGGGTGTTTAGTTGACAGTCCCTCCATGGTTGAAACTGTAAATTTTAAATAAGAAAAATAACCATTTCCATGAGTTTCAAGCTTTGCAATTTAGTGAAACTAAAGATAATCACTGTAGCTCAACTCCGCTCTATTAGTGAATTAGTTTACTATCCATGCTTTGTACTTCCGAGTTGGAGTTACTCAACTTTCTTGATTTTTGTATCTTTTATAGTAATGCCTTTTAGATTTTATTTTAAATTTCACCGAATACGTTTTTATATAGTCTACATTATAATTTGTAGAGGACGGATGTACGCAAGTTAGTAGTGAAGGTATTGAGAAGCTTGAAAGTGAAAGTTTTGGGGAACATCCTATAGAGGCTGGGAACTCTGAAACAAGCTTTCCTGTTATAGATATTCCTGCTTCTTCATGGCCCACTAGTAGCACAAATGAAGATCTCCACCTAGAACCACCTTTACATCTTACCCTTTTCCCAGAGTATTTTAGTCCAGAGCGACCAATAAGGACTTTTACTCGCTATGATGACATTTATTCCATACTCCTGGAACACTCTCCTCGCAAACCTGTATCCGTGGGAGCTAATCATCAAGCTGATGTTCCAGCATGGGATTTTTTGGGGGCTACTAATAGATCAAATGGCTCTGCTTCTGTTTCAGATACAGATGTTGGGGACAGGGATGAAACTGAGAAAAGACTAATGGGTACCTGTGTCATTCCCTTGCCTCAGATGGAATTATCTAGCAATGATGATCAAACTGGGAAGGGAAGAACTGATTGTAGCTGTGAAGATCAGGGATCAATGAGATGTGTCAGACAACATATTGCAGAAGAAAGAGATAAACTTATAAAAACCTTTGGGCCTCAGAAATTCACTGAATTGGGCTTCACTAACATGGGAGAACAAGTGGCTGAAAAATGGAGTGCTGAGGATGAACATCTATTTCATGAGGTTGTTTTCAATAATCCAGCATCCCTTGACAAGAATTTCTGGAACTATCTTTCTATTGCTTTTCCGTCACGAACCAAAAAGGAAATAGTGAGTTACTACTTTAATGTCTTTATGCTTCGAAGAAGGGCTGAACAGAACAGAAATGACCTATTAAGCATTGACAGTGATAATGATGAATGGCAAGGTAGTGACAGCAATGATATTGCAACTCGAGAGGAAGATGAGGACTCTGTTGCCGAGTCCCCTATTTGTCAAGATGAGACTTGTATGGCTGACTGCCATGAAAATGATCTGCAAGCCTATGATGATAAGTATGCTGCTGATGAAACTTGTGCAGGTACTGAAACAGTGGATTTTACTGGTAGGAACATCCATGAGGATTCCAAATATGATCCTGTAGAGACGCATCACTCTAGTGGTTCCCCTCCTCTTATTCAACCCCAGGATCAACCTGTTTGGCAAGATTCGTGTGATGAAAAAGTTAAAGATGATTCATGCACATCTTCTGATGCAGGAGTTGTCTCACAGGAGACTAAGATGAATACTGAGAATGGGGATCATTGGTGTGGTAACTATAATGGGTTAAGCAATGGATATAACCAAGGATATGTTTTGGAGCCTTGTGATGCAAAAGTATGGGAATCTGGATTTGTATCATGCTCTAAGAATAAGATTGACTTCTTACCAACATGCAACATGATAGAAGAGGTTTTTGGAGATGGACGAAGGCAAGACATGAGAAGAGCTTGAGCATCCGAGGCTTTTATGAGAAGTGAATCCCAGTTAGCATTCTTGGCTAAGTGTGATGGCACTTTGACTTTTCCTTTGTATATTTGACATAAGATTCAAAAAGCAGCCTTCATTGTAAAATAGTGTTTTGGAAGGTGATTTAATCTTTCTGAGTTATGTCGTCTCATATATTCTTCTCAACTCCTTTTGGAACTGTAAAATTTCTTATTCCTTAATTTATGATAGTTTCCCCGTTGGGGTGGGATACAAAGATTGGAGGAAGGAAATAGTTGGTGGAAAAGAAACCATCATTGATGCAAGAGTTCCCCTTTTATGATGTAATTTGGCATTATTTTGTCGTTAATGGAAATTCTCAGTTGTATATATTGCTTTCATTCATCCATTTGAAACCTAGTGGCAGAGTTACGGACAATTCATTTAATGTTTTTAACATACATATTCATTTTTGTATTTTAAAGTGTTAAACAAGATTTTACTTCCACGAAAATTTGGTAGTGTTTTTATTATTATTATTATTAAAATTGTAAAATTTTCCTTTCCTAAATTAAGATTTTGCTCAATTTTAATCTTTTAGATTGACTTTTGAAGATAGGCAGAATTAACATAAACCATAAATAATTATATTAATGTTTGTGATATATATTCTTTTCATAATCTATTAGTTGCATGTAATTGCCTGTCACTTTGAGTAAGTTCAAGTTTTATTTTCCTGATTTAATTGCTTTAATTATACCTTGGATAACACCGTTTAAAGATAATTTGCATTGATTATGTAGAGCTATTAATTTTCAGTTTATAATCCTTTTACTCATTTTAAACTTCAGTCGATAATCCGATTTATATTAAAAAAATTATAATAAAGAATTAATACAAAAAATAACAATTAAAAATTAAAAGATGATTTTATAGTTCAAACTTAAAAATATCATGTTGAAATAATTAATATTCTAAAAAAATCATCATGATAAAATAATTAATATAAATAATAAAGTTTGTCATGATAAAATAACTAATAACACATGAAGTTCTTAATGACATCACATATTTATAAATAAAGAACTATGACATAAATCTATAAACAAATTAAAAAGAAAATTATTTTATTTAAGACTTGAAAAAATTTATAATAAAAAAATTAAACTAAATTAATTGGATCAATAAGGTAAATAGTTTTTTATTGATTTGATATGATAAAGTAAAGTTTTCTCTAGCATGAGAATTATGATTTAGAATAAACAATATCTATTTGGTTTATAAAGTATATTGTTAGGAATATTTATACGATTTTTTTTCTTGAAATTGAAGAATAGCTTTTACTGAAATTTTTAATTTTGATAATAATATGATATTTTTCAATAGAATTTTTTATTCTCTCCTACCAAATATATTTTAAATAACTTTTAAAGGATTTAAAATTTCTTTAAATTTACAAATTAAAATCTGACATAACTTTATTATTATCTATCTATTATATATATATATATATATATATATATATATATATATATATAAATATTTCATTTATAAATAAAAAAATATGCATTCTAAATTTAATATGATAACACCATTAAATTTAATAACTATATTTAAAATAATGATTTAGAAAATCAGAATTTTATAGATTATTCTTAACTTTAATTTTAACTAAGTACTTAGAATAAATATTTAATTAAGATGACAAAATAAGTTAACTAATCTTATTATTACTTGTCTCTTTTTTAGACACCAAAAATTAGTAAAACAATTAGTCCATTATAGTTATAATGGGTGTGAGACATTAGTCCCTCGTATAAAAAGGTATCCTAATAACTTGTAATTTTTTTATACATAAATTTATATATATATATATATATATATATATATATATATATATATATATATATATTAAAATACATTTTTAATTATATGAATAATTTTTAAAATATTTATTTATTAATTAATATTTTTATTAAACAAATTGAAAAAAAATACATTTACATCTTAAAATATTCAATTATAATCAATAATTCTAACTCAATTAATTAGCATTTATAATTTAAATTATAATATTTTTTATTTCAATCAATAATTTAAGTTCAATAATAATAATTTATATATTTGTATATTCTAAAAAAATTAAAAAAATTTAATACTTTAAATTATAATTATTTATATTTTAAGTTAATATGTAAATATATTTTAAAGACGGATTGACCCGCGTTATCTTATCATTAACTTGTTGTTTCTGAGATAGATTGGGAGGTTGACTCATGAAACCTAGTTAGATTGATTCATAAACTTAATTATCTGATAGAGGATTAAGAGGATAAAAATGAATCGAAAGTCAATTTATTTAAAATATAAAAGATATTGTCTATTTTTTAAAATGTCTATTATGATTTTATTTTTAAAATAGTTTTAATGAATTAAAAAAAATATTTATAAATTATGTTTAATCTTGATTCTTAAAAAAAAAAATTATAAAAGTTACAATAATATCTAAAATGAAACCCTAACTGAGTGGGTTCATCATAAAATCCTAACATTATATTACAGAATTCAATTCTAATGATAAAAAAAATCAATATCAACCAAATTATGACTCCATCACAAAAGTAAATCATGAATACAAGAAAGTCAAACATAAACATATGCAACTAAGTTAGCATATAAGATCAAATTATTGGTATTACAAATCATACAATCTATTGAAAATCTCTTATCTTTTAGTTAGAGTGTGTAAGGCTATATTATTTTTCAAATATAACTTAAAAGACAATCCCCATAATGCCAAAATCATTCCAAATCATAAAATTTATAATTTAGATATAATAATGAAAGCAAAGAGGAAATAACAATAAGCCAAAGCATAAAAAAGGGTCGGAGAAACTCACTTGGAAAACAGATTGGATAAGTTCTTCATGCACGCATACATTGAACGTGTTCCTCGTCGTTAAATCTTATCACAACTGGGCCCAATCCCAACACACCAAAACAATACAGGCCCAAGACCCTTTTCCTCCAATGTTGTCTTCCTCCTGAGGAAGTTGGAATTGTACCGCCTCATCCCCATCTTCTTCCACGGCCGTCAAAAGTGAATTCTGTATGTAGCTTTCAAAGATGACTTGGATCCAAGTCTTCAAACAACCACCATGCCCTGATCCTCCTCAACTTTACATGCATTATTTTCTACACCCACAACTTCACGTTTGAGACTGAGCACGATATTGAGCCTTCTTGGCTATGGATTCAATATACAATCGCACAGGAACCCTCGTTCTGAGCAAACCAAACAATTATAACTTGCATTATCTCCACCTGTACCAAACATAAACCTGATTGAGGACTCGATGTCAGAATGCATTCTTCGATACCTGTTGTATGGATCTCTTCCTTTCAAGTTCTCTTAGTTTCTATGTAACTCAGGACGTAGATGTAGATACGGATAGAGTCAAAGGGTAACCAATGGCTGATGACTCCTTCACCCTTAGACTAAGACAAACGAGGCGGAACGTCGGTGGCGTGATAGGCTGGTTCACGGTTAGTCCTATCACAAAATTGGGGTTTGAGGCCGCGGATCCGTTTTCTTGAAATTTTTTATATTTTTATTTTAAATTTTTTATATAATTTATATTATATATAAGATATTTTAATATTTTTATCTTTTTTTTCTCTGTAATATTTTCAACAAATCTTTCTAAACAATTGCAACAATCTTAATAATATTTAATATTATTTTATTTTTAATTTTATTTTATTAAATTTTATTATATTTTTCTTTTTATATTTTATATTTTATTTTTAGTTGTGATATATCAAATTTTATTTTAATAAAAAGTACAGTAAAATAGTAACACAAATTGATAATTAAAATTTTTATTATTTTATATAAATTAAATAATAATTAATTTATTAAATAGTATTTTATAAATTATATATTTAATATTTATTAATATTTTAAAATGATAAATTAAACAAATAATTAATTTATACATATAATAATAATATTATATATATATATATATATATATATTTTATGTTCATATATAAATAATATCAAATATTATATATATATATATATTAATATAAATATATCAAATTAAAATATATACTCTATTAATAATAATTTTTAAAAAATATTTTATTAAAAATTTTATTTTAATAATTGTAACATAATAATAAATATAATATATTAAATTGTAATATTTATAGATTATTTTAAAAAGTTTAATTTTTAGAAATAAAAAAAGACTACTTTATCAAATTTCACTCTATTAGGTAAGGAATAAGACGAAGTGAGAGAATAAAAAAAAATCAAAACAAACACTAAACATTAAATGAAGTTTGAGAAAAAATAAAAATAAAAAGAAATAAATGAAGAGAATAAAAAAAAATAAAAGAAAGAGTGAAAAATAATTATATTATATAATAATTTTTTTATTAAATTTTATATAGAATAATAAACTGATATAGTTGAATAAATAAATATAAACAACTTTTATTTAAATATTTTTTTAAAATATAAGATTGATTCAAATATTTTTATTATATAATAAATATCATAAATTATATATATATATATATATATATATATATATATATATATATATGAAGTTATTATGAAAATTCTTAAATAATTTCTCCTCTTAAATGCTGCCACCCCTAATTTTTAATGTATAAAAATATTTCGTATTAAAGTACGAGTGTTGTAGGATAAGGGTATTTTTAATATAAGAATTTATTTTGGATTGTTAACTTTCCAATGAGTTAATTTCTTATTATCATCACACAATATTTAAGTAAACTAATCTAATAAAAATATTTAGTATTATTCTATAGATATCGAATAGAATTTATATTAGATATAAAAAGAAAAATAATAAATATTAAAATAAAGAATAATAATTATTTTATTTTATTTTATTTTGAATTAATGGAGAAGAAAATAGGAAAAACTATCTTTAACGAACACAAAAATATATTTCTATATTTATCATCTAATTGAATTATAAAAATATAAA